AATTCTGGGAGTTGAAGTCCACAAGTCATGAAGGGCCCATAGTTACCCCATGCTGGCTGAGGAATTCTGGGAGTTGAAGTTCACAAGTCATGAAGGGCCCATAGTTACCCCATGCTGGCTGAGGAATTCTGGGAGTTGAAGTCCGCAAGTCATGAAGGGGCCAAAGTTTTCCCCATGCTGGCTCAGGAATTCTGAGAGTTGAAGTCTGCAAGTCATGAAGGGCCCATAGTTCCCCCATGCTGGCTCAGGAATTCTGGGAGTTCAAGTCCGCAAGTCATAAAAGGGCCAAGTTTGAAGACCCCTGCTCTACGGGCAGGTTTGTTTTCTTGCAGATGTTTTCTGACCCCACTAGGTAACATCATCAGTGCTAGAAGGAAGTGGAGTTTGCTCTCTGTTTGTATACACGTGGCTTGCTCTGTCAGTGTTGGTCGGAGTCATCTTGGCGATTCCTTGATTAGGCAGCTGTTTACTGTTCACTTGTCCCAAAGGTGCTTTTTTCAGGAGGCAACTGGACTTTCTTGTTTTTCTTTGAAGACGTTTTGCTTTTCATCCAAGAAGCTTCTTCAGCTCTGAAGAAGCACCTTTGGGACAACCACAACCTATGGATGACTGAGAATCTCCACAGACATTTACTGTTAACTTAGTTGTCTGCATGGATAGGTCCTTGATTAGGATATTGTTTAATTCTTGATCGTTTGTCTTGGTGTTAATCTCTGCACGTAGAGGCGTTGATTGCTAGAGAGGAGACGGTTTAGTCAAGCAGGTTTTGGTTTGAGTGAATCCCACTCCCTGGTAGCATAGATGAGATTAACTAGTTTGGTACTGAAACGTCTGCAAGAAAACCAGCAAGGACCCCACAATCGTTCTCCTCCTCCTCCTCCTCCTCCCCACTAGCACTGATGAGATTAACTAGTTTGGTAGTGAAATGCCTGCAAGAAAACCACCAAGCTCGGAGAGCACCAAGGACCCCATAGTCATCCTACTACTACTATTCACACACAAACACACACACCTAGCACTGAAAATTTACCTACTTGAGCAAGTAAACATTTGCAGGAAAACCACCAAGCTCAGAGAACATCCAGGACCCCACAGTCCTCTACACACACACACACACACACCCCTTCTAGCACTGAAAATGTTACCTACTTGAGTACTTAAACATTTGCAAGAAAATCACCAAGCTCAGAGAGCACCCACAGTCCTCCTCCTCTATACACATGCACACACACACACACACACACCTTCTAGCACTGAAAATGTTACCTACTTGAGTAATTAAACATTTGCAAGAAAATCACCAAGCTGAGAGAGCACCCACAGTCCTCCTCCTCTATACACATACACACACCTTCTAGCACTGAAAATGTTACCTACTTGAGTAATTAAACATTTGCAAGAAAATCACCACGCTCAGAGAGCACCCAGGACCGCACAGTTGTCGTCGTCCTCCTCCTCTTCACACACACACACACACACCTAACACTGAAAATGTTACCACTTGAGTAATTAAACATTTGCAAAAAAAAAAAAAAACCCCACCAAGCTCAGAGAGCACCCAGGATCCCACAGTCATCTTCCTCTATACACACACACACACACCTATCACTGAAAATGTTACCTACTTGAGTAATTAAACATTTGCAAGAAAAGCACCAACCTCAGAAAGGACCAAAGATCCCTAGAAATCTATGTCAGATTGCTCGACTCTGCACCTGAGCTCATTAACAGATTTCCTCTTTGACTTTCCAGGGCTGAAGTATCAATTGCTTGATCCTGCAAAAGTGCCCAAGGCAGCCATGACTGGAGGGCTGGTTCAGGAATTTCAGCACAGTGTCCTGCCTTCTGTGACCCCACTAGCAACCTTGTGCTGTACCGCCGTCTCCATGCTGGTAAGCATAAACCATTATCGCCCTTGTGCTGTTAAATTGTTTAATTTCCTCTGAACCAAATCTGTTGAATTTCGGTACACTCCCATCTCGTATCCGTCCAGAACAGTGTTTCTCAACCTTGACAATTTTAAGGCATGTGGAATTCTGGGAGTTGAAGTTCACATGCCTTAAAATTGTCAAGGTTGAGAAACACTGGTCCAGAATCTCCTTAAAAATAACTGACTCTGCTCTTAACTTGACAGGCTCTGCCTTGCCACAATTCTCAGGCAAAAATTTTCCTTGGCGGGCGTTAGAGTAAAGAAAATAAAAAGTTCTAAATATTACTGTGCCTGATTCTTACAGAAGCATAAAACATTAAAGTGGAAGGTCCTTTTTTCCCCCCTGTGCAGGTAATGGAGATTTGGCCCGATGTCAAAAGTTGGGCTAAAACATTGCATCCGGTCTTGGAAAATCTGTTAGTCCCAGTTAGATTTTTTTTTCTATCTAAACCAGAGTTCCCCAACATTTTGCCTTTGCAGACTGCCCGCTACTCATGTGAGTGGGGATGTGCATGCGCCTGTGCTCGCCCCCCAACTTCCGCGGCCCGATTCCAAAAGGCTCAAGGCCTGGTAGTGACCCAGGAATTGGGGAAGCCCTGGTCTAAACCACATCCTTCTCAAATTGATCAGCTTATATATAGTTGGTGAGATGAAGAAGAATTTGGGCAAACGCCAGGAGACAGTGAAAGACAGCCCCACCCCAGCTTGCTATGGTCCGTGGGGATCGCCAAGGGTCAGACATGATGTCAACATCCAGCTCGAGAATCCAAATAAAACCACAGATAAGAAGCAGCATACCCCACAGCTGTATAATGGGCAGAGCAAGAAGCTCAGAAGGAATTCTCTCTAGCTTCCCAGACTGAAAAGGGAGACAGCAGGAGATTTGTATTTTCAAACTTGCAAGATTCTATTACTGTTGCCTTAAAGTAAAATTAGCTTGTCTGATTATGTTTACTGTCTGATCTACCTGGGAAGGCTTGCTGGCTTGCTTACTAGTGTAGTGTAGTGTAGTAGTATATATTTAATTTATTATTTAATTACTTTAATTAATTTTTATTTAATTTAATTTTTTTGTTTAATTTTATTTATTTAGTTTAATTTTTAATTTAATTTATTATTTACTTTTATTTATTTAACTAGCTGTACCCGGCCACGCGTTGCTGTGGCTCAGTCTGGTAAAAGCGGGTGTTGCTTTTACGTCCAACAGATGGCGCTGTTTTTCAAAAAAAAGCATGTTTTTACCTGTCACAGGTGTGACATCTATATAATATAGGTATATAAAAACACGTGCATATTTGAATGCAAAGTTGTGTCAAAATTTCAAAGCAATCGGTGAAGAACTTTCGGAGGTTTAAGATTTTGAACAAAGGGAGAGACTTCCGGTGGCAGGCGATTTCGTCGGTCGCAGCTGTTTGCTGCCTCCCGCCTGTTTTGCGTAAAAGCCGGTTTGACAGCCAGCACCAGCTGTCAAACGGCTTGATACCTTTCCCCTGGGCATAAGGGGATAGGTGAGCTGCCCGGGGTAGGAGTTGAGTTCCCGAGTCGTCCTATATGGACGATGTAGGTGAG